GTCTGATGGGTGCAGTCGTGTTGTACACATTTTACCAAAATTGATAAACATTTGGTAATGGTTAATACAGTACCATGATTGCAGAGAGCGCAAGGGGAAGGTTATTTCCAGATCAAGAAGCCCTTGAGGATGATCAGCAGAGCAGTCGTGGGTGTGTATTTGATTTAAAGAATGTCATCGTGGTAATAGAATGAATATTATAAATCAAGATAGATACACATCTTTTCTTGGGTGTGAGCAATGAGTAAACATAGATAGTGTAATATGCATACATAGATGTATCTATTCACAAAATCAGATACGTAAGTAGAGTGTTTTTCAGGAACAGTTCGGAGGATATCAACAACGCCATCATTCCATAACAGAAGAGCCGAACCCTTACATAAAATGTCTTCCAGTAAGTATAAGAGTAAGCCTATGAACCAGTCTGGTATTTACTCTGTATAATTAGTCACAGTTTTGACATTTGTTCATGTAAGCATATATGAATTTTTGTATATTTTAGATTTATTGTTCATTTCAGTACTTAAAGTAATAGTCACTGAAGAGTCCCAGTTTTTTTCTGCAACATTAGGTTGATAATGTTAATTGTAGTAGGATTTAGATAATTATCCATATTTCTTTAGTTCTTTAAAAAACTTGTCTTTGCATGAAATGAGCATTTCCTCATCACTGCATCATTTCTCAATTTTAGATGGACCAGTTGAATCGGCTATAAAGAAAAAACTGGTCGAGGCCTTTAAACCCGTGCATTTGCAGATCGTTAATGAGTCCTTTATGCATAATGTCCCTCCTGGCTCAGAAACACATTTCAAGGTCCTTGTTGTTTCTCCAACTTTCGAGAACGTCCCTCTCATCAAGGTATGTTCTCCGGTGCTTTTCAGCTAACAGAGAAACAGACTGACAATTTGCAGTCAGAGTCATAAAGGTGCTTAAGGAAAAGAAAAAGAATCTAATTTTACTATGTTCTCTGATGTACACATAGACATAGATAGGACAGAGTAGGCAGATAGGTACATTTTGATATGTGTACTTTGTGAGTTTATCTTACAGGTTTAGTACCAGAACTGCAGAATGAAAACAGATGACATATTTACTTGATTTGTTTGAGAGAAAAAGAGGACTTTATTTATGTATCTAAGTACAGACTTTCTATTACAGCGCCACCGCCTTGTGAACGCAGCTCTAAGTGAAGAGTTAGCAACAGGAGTTCATGCTCTTTCCATTGTGGTGAGTGTTTCTATGCATAAGATGGGTTATTGTAGTGAATATTTTTTTGTCTTGCATAACATATTATTTCTGATATAGTTTGTAATGATTTTTGTGTATATAATTTAGTAGCAATTTCTTTTACTACTTTATTCTTCAGTAAATTATTCCAGATTGTTTGAATGTAAAGACAGAGAAAAAACTCCACTGACTGAAATGTTCACAAATATGCCCAAGTATTCTTATAGATAAGTTACCCCCACATCTCAGTAGGAAGAGAGATGAATATGTAAATAAAAAAAAAAAAATTGTTAATGAAATGGAGTAATTGCTAACAGTGATTAAAATAAAGCTTTTCAAAATTATCATTCCTATAATTCCTTGGTATATTTCACCTTTGAAGCACATGTATTGTTTCACTTTTTATCTTATAGATAGATAGATATATGGTACAGTTTTGATACTAATAGGTGAAGAATCATGTTCAAATTATAAAAAGAAATAATGCTTATAACTTGCCAGAATTTGTATTTTTAGCCAAGTTGAAGTTGTTTAGCCACTTTGTGTGAAATATCCCATACCTGATCCACTTTACCATACTCATCTCATTCACTACAGATTATTGTGTTTATTCTGTCTATTTTGATTAATCTCTCAGGCACGCACTCCAGACCAGTGGGAAAAAAGCTCTCAAGAGATAGAACGAAGTCCTGCTTGTCGTGGTGGTTTTGGGAAATGAAGCTGACTCTTAAAACTATAAAAGCCAGAAGAGTAAGACTGAAATGGGTTCCAGTTGCATGGAAGATAAGATAGAAGAGAATTGGTTAAACTATGCAGAAGTATGGTCACCATTATATTTTACTTGAAAAAACACACAAGGTATTAATAAGAAACTATGCATTAAGCACTCTATAGGAGGTACTAAACCATAAATGTAATCAATTCATCTGAATTTTGTTATGAATGATTATAAGCTGTGATCTATACTGATGTATATACAAAGTACCGGTAGTGAAGGTTAATATTTTAAGGCAGCTAAAGGACAGAATTCATATCTACATTGTATAGTGTTGTATAATATTTTGTTGTTTTGACTTCTAAGCTTTCAGCATTCATTGGTTGAATTTGTGAAATGTTGAATATTAATTTGGGATGTATTTGATTTTGTATACAAACATGAATAAAAAAATACATCTTTATATTTGGAAAGTTTCATATTTTTATTAGCTATGTATATTAGCATATGCGCAAATTATTGTATTTAATCAAATATTTGGTAAAAGGGATAAAT